CCTAATTTTCAATAATTGCAGTCTATTTTTCTTTCTTTCCCTCCTTCTCTCCCATCTGAGGAAAATAGTTCTGAAAAAAAATGATTAGAATACTTATCAACAAATGTGGTTTTTACACTGGGAAGCAATATTCAAGTTACTCACAGAATCTTTATTCTTTTTCATTTGGCAGCTGTGGTCATTAAACAGACTAACATAATCATTCCAAACAATCACATCTCCCTCACATTCTATGCTCTCTAGAAACAAGTGAAGAAACTAACTTAAAACATAGCTTCAGTTGCTAGCAGAAGACAACTGTTAGAATTCCTAGGATGTTTTATCAGTTACTAGTTAATACTCAGGTTTCTAGAAAATTTGGACTTTCCTTCTGTAACAAAAACAGGTTGCTAGTATTTAAAATCTGGAGAATTTTAAAATTTAAAATCCTCCAGATAATCAGCAATTTTCTCAGTCTTTGATGAAATTGAACCAATGATCTCTTCCTATTAACAGTACACAGGAGAGTCAATTTGGTACAGTGGTTAAGGTGCTGGACTAGAAATTAGGAGACTGTGAGTTCTAGTTCTGCCTTTCACACGAAAGCCAGTTGGGTGACTTTTACCTAGTCATTCTCTCTCAGCCCAACCAATTTCTTACAGGGTTGTGAAGAAAATAGGAGGAGGAAGGAGTATTAGTAATGTTTTTTGTCTTAGGTTCCTTACAAATTAATAAACCTGGGATAAAAATCCAATAAATAAATAATACTTCTACAATACCACCATTATTTTTTAGCTAGGGATTTGTGGCCACTCACACAGGATTCTGTATCACTTATTGCTGAAACAGTTTATATATTCTGTGGTGAGGGATGCTATCTGTTAAAAAAAAGAGTTTGGTAGTTTGAAAGAATAATGGAAAATCAGTATATAAAGTATGTCTTTCATTATGTTTTTTGAACTGCCTGATAAAACTAGAATGGGAAAAATGTACCCATCTTTACTGTACTGGCTATTTTCTCAGTTATTTTCCAAATGGGATGATTAACCATTCTTACTGAAAGAATTTAAGAATATTATAACAACTATAACATTACTCCCAATTACTCTTGTTATACTGTGCCATGGACTAATCAGTCTCATCTTTACAGCAACCTCACAAAACTCTAGACACAGATAATACAGTTACTATTTAACTATACTGTTATACAGTATAGTATATACTGTACTACATTCAGTATTGATTCAGATACTATTTTGATCTACTAACAACTATAATTTTATGAAGGATGAAAAATCACTTATTTCAAGCCTACAGCTCTGACCTCATTTTCATCCTAGTGCTGTGCTTTCCTGGCAACTTCCACTGAGTATCCAGCAATAATATATTCAAAATGTTCTGATTTTCAAGAGATTGTCTTGTTTTTTCTCTGACTGCACATGATGTACAAACAACATGCATTTAAACTTCAGTAGTGTTCATTTTAAGAGACAACAGCTTGAACAGAAGGTGTATCACAGATAGCTAGGAAGGTGCAGGGTTTAATAATTCTCTCATCTATTAGCGTTGTACTGAAGTTCTCCCCAGTGTACATCTTCTAAAAGAGTACTTGCGTTTCCAGGTACAAATAAATATTGTGAATTCCACACAAGGGAAATCACACTACAGTTAAATAGCAGATTTGGAAGAGCCTGGGGTATCTTGGGGGCTACCTAGGCCTGAGGAATGTCTCAATATTTTTTTCTCTTTACAATCCTGTATTCTCTTAATTTGGGTTGAGTCCAGGTGACTGAATGGATCTGATCATTTACTAACCAGATGCCCTTCCTGATACCTATATGGAGTTTGCAGTAGATATTTTGTCTTTGTACCCTGAGAGAAAAATATTTACTGCTACCTAGGATTGAACTCTCAACCTTCTGAGTAGGAGATGAGCATCTTCACCAGTGGTGGGATTCTACCAATTTCCCTACCGGTTCGGTGATCGCGCACTTGTGTGCGTGCTTTCCAAACACCAGCTGAGGTTCTGCCACGCCAATCAGCTGAGAGGATAGAGAACAGAAAAGTGCAGGGGCAGGTGGGAGGGCCCATCCTGCGCTTTTCTCTTCTTTCTTCTCTCAGCTGATCATCGGAGTTTTTTTAACTACTGAACTGGTCTGAACCGGTAGCATTTCAACACTGGTCTTCACCACTAGGCTGCCATTGTGCTCCATGAATGTTTCAATATAAAGATGAAACAAGTTGCATGGTGCCTCCTTTGGATCAGTAGCCAACATAACAACATACATTCCCCTCTGCTGTTTCTCTGCTGAAAATCTCCTTCAGTTGAAGTATTTTCCCTTCAAATACATATATTGTGAATATAGTCCTCATGCCAGACTGCAGACACAAAATGTGCATCCGCATGAGTGAATAATGGCTATTACAGAAGTACACAGATACCCCAGATATTTCCTCTGCTAGAGTCCTTATAAAAACATGGAAGAAATTCATAGAAATAGGTTTTGTGAGGAACTGCCTTAAAACTCTAAGAATCTCAAAGCTATATTGTAAAAATGGATGAATATGCAGTATATAGTTAGGATTGGTCCTATGATTTTTAATTTCTGTTTTGTATTGTGCTAAATCTCATTTTGTTTCTCTCTCTGAACAAGTCCCTAATGTTGGGAAAATTAGAAGGAAAGGGAAGAAGAGGATGACCAGCAGCAAACTGGATGGATTTAATTACAGTGACAATTGGTGTGTTGTTGGGACACCCGAAAGACTGGATTGGGGATACATGATTCTGGAAAAATCTATCTTTATGATTGCCAGGAGTTTACAGCACGCAATCAATCAACAAATTGAAAAATTGGATCTTTGATTTTGGCTTCTTAAATCTCTCAGGCTATGGCCATTGTTCTTCAAGGAATCTGTAATATTTTGGATAGACGATTCTTCATTTGTTTCTACACCTGCACTCTCTTTTATTCTCTCTGGAGTTCTGTGGTGTTGTTGTTTTTTTTGCAATTTTTCATAAGTAATTTGCATACTGCTATGGTACCATAATCTAGGCAGCTCTGTAATTATCTCTTTCCCATTGAATGGCTGCATTTTAACATTTAAAAGTTTAACAAAAGTTTTTAACATACTTTTAAAAAAAATAGTAAAACTTGATTTTGTTTATTTGCTATGAGTTTGATTTATCTGCCAACTGAGAGAGGAAGGGATGAATCCACTATCACCATGTCTCCATGCTTACATGGTCAGGAAGTGGCACCAATGACATGATTTCAATTACTGTCTTTTGACATTTTAATCCCAACCCCAGTATACATTAGAGTTAAGAAGTGGATATCAAATGAGATTTCACTGTACAATAGATGATGGCAGAGGAAACTAGCAAACTACTTTCTCAGTGCAGAAGGTGGAAACATGGTGTGGAGACTCAGAGGGCTTCTAAGAGAGGAGGTTACAACTTCTAACATTTTATCTCATTGGCCTCAATATCTTATAACACGGGTGTCAAACTCGATTGCATCACGTGACGTCATGTGAAATATCATGACTTTGCCTTTGCGGAGCCGGGTATGCGTGATCTGCACGTATGGGCCGCAAGTTTTACACCCCTGTATAACATTTCAATCTATATGTTTCAATATATTATGTAAGTCATCCTTTAGTCATGTCTTTATTTTATCGTAAACTGTTAAATTTGAATAGCTCCCAGCTCTTTCATATAACAACTCTTATGTCAATTGCTGGAGAAATTTATTGCAAGCTTAACCTCTCTACCAGAATCTGAACTACTAGTGGGCTAGGGAAGTGGGTGGGAGTTTAGAAAGGAATTTAAGGTGGGCTGGACTTAGATCTCTTGTGGGGTACAAAGACTGATGGTAGGTTTGACCCCTCCCTTAGGTTCAGCCTGATCATCTCCTAGATCTTATATATAGTAAATACAAATTTCTTCACAACCAAATCGAAAACTCTCTGAAATATTATAGAAGTGGGTATCTTAAATTTGCACTGCCTCCTACAAAACATCTAAGAATCCTCTTGTGGAAATCAACTGCTTTGACCTCTCAGATGATCAGAGACAGGAAACTGCACTCAATGATATGTTATGCCCTATCACTTCTGACTGAACCAGGACATCTTATTCCATATAACATGCTATTATAATTCTAAAGGCTCAAGGAATAGAGAATATGAAGTATGTCTTATTTCCCAGAAAAAGGAGATCGGGGGCACGAATGAAGGCTGTGCTTGAATGAAGATTTGGGTCATGTTTTTCAAACAGACACATGTTGCACAATTCATTTGCCATTCATAATATTTTCTACCTCCTAAACATGTGCAATTTGCTTGTTGCCTTAATTTCTTCTAGCCTAATAATGATCTTACTACTGCAAGATCATAACAGAATGCCTACTGGCTTTATCAATCTTCATGAAACAGCTAAACATGACTCAGTAAGTCATAGTATCATCAATGGGACCACAGTGTACATCAATGAGTCACCCTGGAGCTTATGATCCTCTGTCTGTGGCAATCTCTACAGTCACAAAACCCTCTCTAAAAATGTATTATCTTTATATTAGTCTTTGTGTTAGTGTTATTACATTAAATTATAAATGTACGCTTTTGTTTTTATTTTACTCTTATGAATAATGTTGGGTTTTCATAAAAGAGAAATGGCTTATAAGTATCAGTAGCAGCTTCTTTTAGCAAGTATCAGTAGCAGCTTCTTTTAGCAAAAGAATGTACACTTATTTAAATGCAACTACATCTTCAAATACAACTCAAAAAAGTTCCTCAGTCCTCAGATCCAGTATATATTTTAATTTGTACATCAATCAGAGCTCTTCTGTGAGGGAGAAGGGCAGTTTCAAAATGTGATAATAAATAAATAAAATAAATCATACACACACACGCATGCACACACACAAATATAGCACTAATAATATTCTACCACTCCCTCAGAACCCATACATAAGTCACTTAGTATGTTTATGCAAGCGCTGAAGAAGTGCTAGTCTTACCTGGGTTGGCCTTAGAGGTGCGCACTGGCGTATAGTGGTTTTTCGAAGATGTTCGGATGGGTGTGTTGTCTTTGGGGGAGGTATCTATAGCCGAGATAGTCTCTCTTTCACAGTGTGCTATGGGGATTGGTCCCTGCTGCCGGAGGATATCGGCTAGAGCCCTAAAAGGAAGAAACACCAATCATGCAAAGCTTTTATAAAACAAGTAAGCAGCAAGTAAAAATATGAGTAAAATCCCCTCTGACTTTTGATTAAAATAAAAAAGGGATAATATTACAGTAGTCACATTTCCTTTTGTTGGTATGTGTGTACAAAATTAGATTTTGGCTGACTTTAAAAAAAGCAAAAAGGGGTTATAACTGTTTTATTTTTTATATGGAGGAAATCCCAGAGCTACAAGGTAGAGGGAAAAAATTAAAAGAAGAAGAAAACAATCCCCCAAAAGAAATTGTAGAAAACCACTTTTGAGCTGCGGCAAGAGAATTAGATGGGTGTGTTAAATACAGGCTCAAACATTTTCAGGATTGCTGACTGTAAATATGAAATAAAATATCATCTGCCACTTGGCAGAAAGACCATGACAAAGCAAGACAAATAGTAGAATGCAGAGACATCACAATGACAGCAAATTATATGTTGCCAAGCCATGGTTTTCCCACTTGTAACATATGGCTATGATATGTAGACCCTCAGAAAAGCTGAATGAAGGAAAAATCCTGCTTTTAAATTGTGGCACTGAAGAAAATGGTTGACAATACCTTGAATTGCAAGAACAAATTATTCAGTGTCAGGTAAAGTAAAACTGCTTGCTAGGAGACCTAATGATGAACTGAACCTTAAATATTTTGGGCACATAATTCCCAAGTTATGTTCAAAAATAGTCCTAATGACAGGTTATTGTTGCAGAGCAACTCTACACTGACAACTTGTTATTCTTGATACATGGAAGGGAGCTAAAGTTTCCATTTCAGGTACTGTCTGTACTCATACAAACTCATCCCACCATACTTGAAGGAAATGATTGGTGACTTTCATGTCATCTATTGACACTAGGAAGGAGGAGAAAATAGGCTAGTAGAGTCTAGCAAAAGGTACTGTTAAACCATTCCACATAAATCTCTAAGGACAGAACAAACTGAAATCCTCATTACTGAAGTGTATTGGATCTTAGCCATCAGGGCAGCACAAATCATGGTAACATATTTTTCTGCCAGGACAAGGTCTAAAGGAATATATGTTCACATGGCTATCAAGAAGACCCCCAAATCTCTTCTAGCTTTCTAAGTAGTCTGCTGCATACACTGCTTTACCTGATGAGGAAAACACCATAATTAGACTGAGTAGGCAAGTTCTTGTGAGTTAAGTGACACACCATCTTGTGGTATTATCTGGAAGATGTTTGAAGAAATGGACAGGTTCCTTGGGTCTGTCTTTCATCTCTCCCCCCACCCCAGCATCCAGGAAGTGATGTGTGGATGAGTTCATGCAGTGGTGAATGTATCCCTGAAGGAGGTATTTCCACAAGAAGTTGTCAGGCTAAAAAAAAATCAATGCTATATAAGTCCAATAAAACAAATTTTGTTAGAACAACTTTAGTAACAGAATCTTGCAAGTGTAAATAGGTGGCCCGCCCTTCAACTTCAGGTGAATTAGGCAGGGACCAGTCTGATATATTTTCTCAAGTTGGTTTCTTGGCAGGACTTAAGCTATACAGTACACTTGTCTGATTGCTGTCTTGGTAACAGATTTCAAAACCATTCTTTATGTCTTCTACAGAACCCTATGATGTTGGACAACCTTGCTCTTTTCTCAGAGGATGGGTTAAGGAATGTGTCCATGAGGATATTTTAGATACATGCTTATTGTATTAGTCCTTGATTTATTGCCTCTTTGTTTTTGAATTGCATTAGATGTGTTCTTAATGTGATCTATAAATAGATAGTCATTAAAATACCAACCTTTAATATAAAAATAAGCAAAGATCATTTTTTTAAAAAATAATCTAACTTAGATCAAGGATAACATGGCCATACGTCAAATTTTTAGGGATGAGTAGAGGGTATATCTGCCCCCATTCTCATTTTTGTAGACCTCAAGACTATGATACCAAAATATGGTAGGTTTATGTTTAAAGACAATAGCTTAAATCAGAAGCCTTCACTGGATGCTTAACATTTCTCTGTTGACATACACACATCAGCCCCATTCCCCCTTTGGTTCTTGGCGATTACAAGAATAAAACTAATTTTTAAAAAGTGCCATTACTGATTACAAAAAGGTTTCCTGCCTTTCTCTGCTTGAAAAGCTGTGTGTGCATGTGTGCATGTATGTAAACACATTACAAGCAAGGAGAGCTTGTAACTATATTGCAAGCAGCAGTCTACAGATGTTAGATGAGGAGGTTAACAGATTGCCTGATTACAGTCATATCCACTGCTGTATTTATATTTATACATTTACATGTATAGATTAATATGCATTTGCTTTTGTCTGCCTTTTCCCCCTTTAATGATGATAAGGTAAATGTGTGTGTTCTTTCTTGCCACACCAAGTCACTACCATTCCCTGAAAAAAGAGAATTATTCTGCTCTCATTCTCAATATTAAAAAATGGTTCACAAATTATTAAAAAATGGGGAGGGGATTTTTTTTTAAATGAATCTTTCTGCATATACTAGAAACAAAAACCAGAAAAAAACACTTGAATTCAGGGTTAGGTTTTTTTTAAAAAAAAAAAAAACCTGAAATGAATGTTGCAGAAGCTGAGGACAAATTGAATTGCCCTATACCTGCATCATTTTGCTCTGCATCATAATATTTATTAGTAGCTATATTTGATAGGAAACACTTTCTAGAATGTGAAAGTTTTAATTAGAATTATCCCTATGAGTTTTTAGAATTGCAGGGCCAAACTATACCTGAAGTATTCTATTTCCACCTATGGTTTGGGTTTTTTTAAAAAAATGAAAAACATCTGCAACTAGATGTAGTCTTGAGAAGAAGAATAACATAAGGAATGTTTTTTATAACTCTTTTCTTTTCTTTCATTTTTCCATTTAGATCTTTATCCAAGCTACTTTCCAATCTGTACAGGAAAAGATTATTTATCTTTTTCCCCCATCTAGGAGAAAATGACTTTAAAAATTTGAAGAAGACATAAGCAAGAGGAGAAAGAATTAAACAGACTCTTTCCCGAACATATCTTCCCCAAACGACTTTTCTTTTTAAAAATAAAAATAAAACAAGTATTAAGGAGAGAAGTGTGCAATTATTGTCAAGCCTAGATTGGATCTTAATAAGTAAAGACTCTGAGAATTAGCCCTGTTCACCAAGGAGCTCTAATCATGTGATCCAATCATGCTAGAAGTAAAATCAGTCAAGCATCCTCCATAAATAAGTGTGCATTGGACTATAGCTTTATCAACGTCATAAACAATGCATTTTCAGTGCCACAGATGGATGCAAAGGATTTTCCCATCTGTGACTCACTATAGTTTTATCTTTGCGGCAAGGACATCTCATTTTCTTAGAGCTGGGTATATTACAGCATTTTCCTGGAAAATTGTGATCCTCTCCCAGGTGAATTATTGAATGTGAAATTGTTTTTAGCTCTGCTCAATATTGCCTGCAACATGAATTGCACGAATGGCAAAACTTTTCCCTTCTCCATGCTTGTATTATTCTGTAAATCTTTGGAAGCTGAGTGTATTATTATTTTAATGAACAACTTCTGGTAGAGCTGTTGGTGTTCTCTGAGCTTGGCTGTTTGCTTACAGATGTTTTATTATCAAACTACTAAATGTGGAGTTTGCTCCCTGTTTATATACAGAAGCAACTGTAGTACTGTATACATTACACATGTGCATGATACTTATACAACATATACTTTATATACTGTAGCTATTATAGCTATTATAGTCCTGTAGTTACTATATAAAACAGAGAGCAAACCCCACCCTTATGATCACTGATGATGTTACCAAGAGTGCTAATGAAACATCTGAAAGCAAACTGCCAAGTTCAGGGAGCACCAAGGACTCCACAATTCAACTCTGAGCTATATACATATATATTCTCTTCTATTGGAACAATTTCTTACTGTAATTCTCCAACATAGAAGCTCATCCAGTCTTTAAAATGCTTCATTTAAAATTAAAACTAAACTTCATTTAATTTTAAGATGTCTGTCTTTCCTTCACAAAGCTGGAACAATCCTCTCTTCTGATTTTTTTTTTTAAAGAGCTAAAAGTTATCTCCTGCAGAAAGACATCCATCTGTTTGTAATGCATGATCAGGATGTCATGTTTTGCCTTGAATTTGGATTTTAGGTTTTCTACAAATCCTACGAAAGACATAAATGCTCATTAATTCTTTGTGACTCAGGATCCAGTCACGAAGTGTGTGATATGACTATGCCCATATTACTCTATCTATGCAAAAAGAAGTTGAAGAGATTTTTCCCAGTTTCCATGAAGCAAGAAAGAAGGGGATGGACTGAAGATTGGTAGAAGCGGCAGAACAAATACTTAAAAGAATATGTGTAATCTAACTCTGTCTACCCTTATGATATTTCGTTCTTTACCTTGAGAGTGAAATTATAATTGACTAATATAATTGAAAGCATGGAGACTTTTCTGAGTTAGTTGAGGAATACTGAACTGGTGTCAGAAGAATTCTAAGTTATGACCTTAGCTGTGATTATTATACCCAACTCAGCTATATTAGCCTTATCAAACTGAAGTTCTATACCATTTTTTCCCTAACTTTGCAATATTCAGCATACCACTGTGGCAGAATCATAAATGCAAACATCACTCTCCTTTATTAGTTTTTAAGACAAGTGCCTCCCAAAAGGAGAAAAAAGAAAACAATATTTTTCCTTGATATATTCCTTTACTTGTTTGTTGGAGATGACTGTTCTACTACATACGCAACACATGACATTTCAGCTGGGTGCTTCCCAACTGCAAGGGAGAGGAATGATGGACTTAATCTTGCCAGCTTCTTCTCCAGAACAGCCAAAGGCATCCTACTCATTTGCGTAAGAGATGTGTAGGCCTGCGCTGACAGTGACACAGTGTTGATGCCAATGATAGATTTAAAAAAATCTTGCCTAAAAGTATGCTTCACCTATCTGAGCAGATGGGAGAGTCAGGTTGGCCTTGATACAGATTCCTATCTTCAAATGCAGCCAGTTTGGATAATATATAGAGGCCAAGATCCAAACTAATTATGCCAGTTTAAATAGAGTTGCTCCAAGTGCACTGGTATAATTGACAATGTGTTCCATCTTGTTCATTGCTGCAGGTTACAGTTCCCTCGAAGATTCATATTCCGTTTACAACACAGAAAAAAATGATAGTACTGAGACCCCTTACTACACTGAGATTTATATGGACATTGTTTTGGATGGATATTCAAACTTACGGAGGCTGCAAGGGCATATGTGGTGGGATTGTTTGTGTTTTTTGCTCCTTTATGATTCCGATCAATAAAAATCTTGGATATTGCTATCTAGTGTAAATAGTCTGGTTCAAGTAGTAAAGAATAGGACTGTACCATGCTTTCAAAAATCAGGAACTTCACAAAATATCTTTGCATAAATGAAGCAACCTCCCCGTTCATCACACAAAGCACATCCTTTGCAAGAACTGCACAGATACTTAAAAATATGTACCTCCACAGATAACTTTCACAGGAATTGCCAGTGCCTGTATATATGCATGCACATGGAAACAATTGGAGACAACTTTCACAGCAGCTACATGGGCTTCACAAAAGTAGTTGCTGTTTTAATACTTTGAGAAGTACTTTGTTCAGGCTAATGTTTAGAAGCACGTCTTTCAAAGGCCTTCCATCTACAAACTACAGCACTTATCTCTCTTACTTTTTAAATGTATGTAATTTTAAATCAATTTTATGGTTTTATGGTTTCCATCATGACAGCTAAGAAAGTCTGAAGAAGTCTCTGAGAATCCTGATTAAAACTCTTATGTACCTTGTATTTCCTAAGATAGTTTGAAAAGTATAAAGGAA